ATGTAACAACCATTTGTGGGGCGTCAAAGCACATAATATAGCATTCGTTTGGGTCAGGTGTTACTATATCAGATTAGTAATGGGGGCATCCTAATTAGGAAGAAGTCATTTCATGAAACTTCAAGTCATTTTCAGCATCTTGTTTGAACTTGTTTTTTGTTCATTTCTCTGCCTTTTGTGTAATAAATAAATTTATGTTACTTTTATAGTTATGAGCAATAAATCAAATTTTAATATTGAAATTTTTTGGATATCAAGTAAATTAAATATTCTTTCATTTTCTAAAGAATCCTAGATCTTTGGAAAGTGGTAAAATTAGACCTTTCATATCCTATCCAATGCCAAAAATACAATTACTTTATTGATTTTGACCCTTACCAAATCCTGACCCTACATTTATCTGAGGATCTGAAGTAATGTCTCTACTTGTTTTTGAGACAACGAATCCATATGTTTACCTTCTTGGGTAGAGTTGATTGGTTTTTCACCATATACACGACTGCAAAAGTCACACATTTGTTCTTCATACTGGTGAAACCAACAGACCTCAAAAGAACCAAACTTTCGATTATCCGTGAATCTTCCTGCAAGAAGAAACGAGATGGGGCATCATGGACCAACTTGTTGAAGAGAATATTGAGTAATTGGGGTATGCTCAAAGGAAAAAAAAAGGGATTGATTTAAATAATTATATCATGCATTAATTACATTATTTTCATGTAAATAAAAGTTAATCCTGAATATTCATCCCTTGGGGATATTTTGTTTACATAGACTTCTGTGTATGAAATGATGAACGCCATTCTTTCATTTATCCCTTCGCAAAAGGAGAAAAATATCTTTTGTTGTCCCCATTTGAGCCTGAATGATTTTTCTTTTGATTCAACTCTAAGAAAGGATCACCCTCCACATTGGGGGTAAGGTGAAGGATATTTGCTCACATGAATAAAAATTGTCAATCCAGTTTTATTACGAAGGCAAATCTCCATTAAGTAAAGAGAGTTTTGAACCACAAGGAAGGTCAAATATGAGGTGCTTGAAGATCAAATCCAGTCAAGAATAACAAATGCAAGAGTAAAAGGAGGTACTCAAAGCAATTGAAGTCTTATACTCATCCATCAGAGAAAAAGGAAAGGAAAAAAAAAGAAAATAAAGAAAATAAAGAAAAGAAAAAAAGAAAGAAAAAATGAAGAAAAAAAGGAGAAAAAAAGAAAGAAATGAAATTGAATCAAGATAGATGATTCATTGAACCTCAAGTTTTAAGGTTGATCAAGTTCAAAGATTCATATTCAACAAGAAGCACAAGAAATGCTGAAGATATAACAAAATTGACAGTATAGAGGGATCTAGAAAAAGAAATGATGAAATACAAGTAGCAATGCAGATCCAAGTCAAGTAAGGCAAGAATGAAGGCATCATTATGAATTGATCGTTGGTTCAATTACCCTTAAACACTTGTTTGGGCTTTTTTATCCATTTTTTTTCATAACCATGAGCATTACCTACGTTACGTCCCTGAAAAGTCCATTCTAATCGTACATGGATTTCTAAGTAAAAGAGACTATCTTCAGATTCTATTCCGCTTCTCAGGATTAATTTTTATTTACAAAAATTAGTTTTAAAAAAATATTTAGTGCATGATATTATAAAAGGGGGTTCAAGATATAAATTTTGAATAATGTCTTGAAACCAAAGGCATATTGGAGTTGAAAACCTGAAAAGTGGATTGAATATTGAATGGTGCAACAACGATATAAGAGATGATTTTAAATTCTTGATGAAGAACCACACATCCCAAAGATGTTCCTGAGAGTCTGGAACTAAGAAGTATCTCTACGAGATGAGCATAACAACCATTTCTTCAAGTTAGCGAACGCTCAAAGGGACATATATGCTGGACAAACCTGAGAGACATTACTTTACCAAAATCAACCTACACCTTAAACCAATCAATAATTTTGACACTTGTCATAGGATTATGATTTTTAAATGATTTAAAAAAGTAGTTGATTTATTTGATATTCATTAAACTCATGTTTTATGATTTGATTCAATTATGAACCTGTAATAGGAAATATTTTACAAAATTCTTTCATTCTTCAATAAAGAAAGGAGAAAAAACATTTTCAAATAGGACAATCTCAAATAAGGAAGGTCTTTGAAGCAAGCTGATGCCTATTCTACCTCTATTGTAGGAAAAGAATGAGCGGTGCCAGAATGATGAAGAACTTCTTGAGAGCAAGTTGTCTGAAAGATCAGGAGGGCTGGAAGAGAGAACTTGTAACACTCTCTTGTGACATTATCAACAACCTGATAAGAAGAGGATGATTGTCTCATTCGAAAAAAGGTCACATATCTCAGTGCATAACAAAAAGGTAAGAATACAACCAGTCAAGCAGAAGATGACCACTTTATTCAGAAGAGGCACATATATCAGATAGTTATGTCAGAAGGATTGATCACTTCTTAAGTTACTTAATTTTTTTTAGCAACACCAGAATGAGAGCATTCAAGATAAACATATTTGAGCACAAATAGAGCCACAATAATCCATAAATGGGGCATTATCAAAGTTGAACCTCGTAGGAATCATGAGATTCAAATTCAGTGGACATTGAGAGTAAACCTTTTGACTTGAAGGTTGGATGTATTTTTGAAGGTCTATATAATCCATGTGGGGCATCTTGAAGGCTCACATCAGCATGAAAAAGACAGAAGTAATCCATGTGGGGCATTTTGAAGGCTCACACTAGCATGAAAAGGTTGGGATATTTTGAAAGTCCATTTCAACCAGAAATAAAATGTTAGGTATTTTGAAGACCCATTTCAGATAAAAAAAATTCATGTGGGCCATTTTGAAAGTTCATATTGAAGGCTCATATCAACAAGAAACAATTTTGAACGTATTTTGAATTTGCATTATTCTGGTAATTTGATGATGGCAGTTAAAGTATCCTACTTGCGGTTTCACTGAGCTTTGTTCTTAAGTGACGTCCTACAAAAGCTCCAAACACTATGAAAAGAGCATCACTGATTGAGAAATATGAGCAGAAGCTACAGGAAATGATGAATGTGTTGTCAAATACTTTACAAACCAGTGATTATGGTGCTGAACCAATGTTGCAATCATGTTGTGTTTCTATTTGTGGACTCAAGATGAAGTTTATTTTCTTCAACCCCAAGGTTAGAAGTGAGATATGATGAAGATTTCTTTCCACGAAAGAGGTGATAAAATCGTAACTGCAAGAGACTAGTGGTATCAACTAAGGCTGAAAGATGGGTTGTTGTTAAAAACGAGCCTCATTTGATGTTTGACTAGATGCGGTGACATGAAAATTTGGATAGGTCCTCCTGATGTCGAGTTTCAAGAGTCAAATCATAATTGACGCAACTCTCCCTTTGATCTTTACGGAGTTTAGCATAGTCTTATGCATAGTCTCTGAAAATAGGGCAACACAGTCATATTTCTGATCGTAACAAGAAGTTGAGAAAGAAAATGTTTTCTCCTAAATGAAGACAGAAAATGAAGACGACAAGAAGAGAGAAAAAGATTAGATGGGCCTTCAAAAATGCAAGTTGGAAATTATGAGTTGCTATATGAATATTTGAGTAGACTTTGGGAAGAAGTGATCAAGTAGAAGAAGACTGAGATGGCCACTTTGAAGTCAAATGAAGATTGCATCAACATTTTTTGCATTCATAAGAACATCATTTGCATATAAAAAAGTCATGCATTACATGTTGCATTTATATTTCATGTATTAAAGCATGTTTTTACAAATTTTCCAAGAAAATAAGAGAAGAAAAAGACAGAATTCAAGCCTTGAATGAAGGGAAATATATTTCGATTGGCAAAACCTCAAGAATTGACGAGCCCAATCCAAGAAGAATCTTTACTTTGATGTGCGGTCACATTACCCAAACAACATGATGTTTTCAAAAGATTTTTAAGAAATTAAGCCTGATTTTCAGGGGTTTCTTGATGATGATTTTCAAATAATTTTATAAGAAACTAAGCTTGAGGGACCATCATGATATGTAGGGGTTCCTTGATGATAAGCTTGAAGGACTATCGTGATATGTAGGGGTTTCTTAATGACAAATTTGAGGGACCATCGTGATATGTAGGGGTTCCTTGGTGACAATTAAGAAACTGAGCCTTCAAGGGTTTCTTGATTTTTAAGTCCTTCAGGCTATCCATAAGACCTTCAGTGTAGGATGTTTTCAAATGAGATCTAAGAAACTAAGCCTTCGGAGGTTTCTTGATTTTTAAGTCCTTCAGGCCATCCATAAGACCTTCAGTGCAGGATGTTTTCAAATGAAATTTTAGAAACTAAGCCTTCGGGGGTTTCTTGATTTGTAAGTCCTTCGGGCTATCCATAAGACCTTAAGTGCAGGATGTTTTCAAATGAGATTTTAAGAAACTAAGCCTTCGGGGGTTTCTTGATTTTTAAATCCTTCGGGTCATCTGTAAGTCTTTCGAGCATGATGTGTAAATCATTCGGGTTATTTGTAAGTTTTTCGAGCAAGATGATAAGTCCTTCAGGCCATCCATAAGACCTTAAGTGCTGGATGTTTTCCACATTTCCATTTCTTGATTCACGACATTTCAAATCAGTGATGAACCTCAAAACAACAAAAAAAGATCAAACAAAAACTGGTTGTCTTTTTTCATCTTTGCCCTATTCTTGTTAACACAAGAATGTGCAAAGAGGGGCAGCTGTAGACACCCGTTTTTTGTACGAGTCGATAAAACATTATTAAATTATTATTATTATTATTATTATTATTATTATTAATTAAACATTTTACATTTGTGTAGGCTACTGAAGCCCAGCAAATTTGGAGCCCAACACTCAAGCCCTAGAGTCTAATTACAAGGTGCCAGCCCATATACAAATACCCAATACCCAACAACATTACCCATATGCAGACCCAAAGCCAAGCCCGACTCGTGACCCAACTCTGGTCCAGATCACTCAATAATTTTAGGGTTTTTGAAACCCTAAGGACATCCACCGCCGCTACTCATCCCATTCCACTGTACACGCCACTGCAATAGGGCCAGCCTTCTCCAACCGTCACAATAGTGAACGCCGAGCAATCTTCGAGCATCCAAAGCCACCATTGTCACTGTTTGTGTCATGCAACAACCACAATCAGACCAGATCTACTCAAAAATCCACTGAATATATTTTTAATCAAATAAAATCTCGAAAATTCGGTGTAATGCTTGACCCACTACTCAATATCAGTGGAATAGTCACTACAAGCACCTATAAAATATGACAGAGAGTATTCAGAAAGAAAGGGGGAATTCCAAGAAAATTAATTCGAACAGAGATCGAATCGAGTAAAAGAACCATTTTCGAGGGGCTTTCGAACAGAAAAAGAAAAATAAAGAGAGAGGGATAGAACCCTTACCTTGATCGGAGAAGTATCTAAAAGTCGTCGGAGTTGTGTTTTTTTGAAAGGTATTATTCTAGATCTAAGCTTGTAGGGTTATTTCTAGGTCAAACTAAAAGGATATTCGATGAGTAAGGAGCAAGAGGAAGCTCTTTGGACCATTTGGTCCCTCCAGCCACCGTGGACCCGTCGATGAGTAAGGTTATTTTCTCTCTCTCTCTATCTCTCGGGCAAGAAAGAATAAAATGACGAAGATGAGAGAATTAAGTCCAATTTTGGGCTTATATTGTCCGATTAAAACGACATCATTTTGAGGAGCATCATTTCTGTAATTTCATGCGTGGATAAATTACATTTAAGGTCATGCGTCATTTATAATTTTATTTTCTAGCCATTTACTTTATTTTATTTTGAACATTAATGTTTAATATTTTTAATTTTAGTCTTATTATTATATAGTATGTTAATATTTGAATTTGGTCACGTAGTTTATAATAATTCTAATTTAGTCACTGTTTGATATTTAGGATAAATTATGGATTAGTTCTACATGTTTATTGTCATTTTATTTTGGTTCTATACGTAATTTATTAACTATTTTCATTTTTAATATTTGTAATATTTAATATTTATGATTTTGGTTCTTGTTTATTTAAAACTATTAATCAGTCCTTTTATTAATACAACTTTTTTTTCATTGCATCAGTCACTTTGTTCATTTATAATATTTGAAGCTACCTTAAATATTTGTGTTCATGTTTCGACTTAATCTAATTTTCCTAGATGAGTGTTTTCATGTTTAGCAAACATTTCATGTTAATTTATTATTTATTTAAACAACTTGTTTGACTCTTTTGTTGCTTTCTCGTGATAGTTGAAAAATTATCATTTATTTTGTAGTTGTGAATTTGTATAGAGTGGTTTATGTTTGTCTGTGGGGTGTAATTTGTTTTCCTTATTATAATTTATTATTTCTTTAATTTAAACATCAATTTTCTTGACTTTTAGTGTAATTTGTTTGATATGTATGTTTGTCTCATTTATATGTTCATTTTGTAGTTTATATACCTATATATGCGTGCAGATGATAATTTTTAATTAATTAGTTGCATAATATGTTTTATACATTTTTTATATGACTATTTTATTATTTCTCACGTTAAATACAAATCTATACATGTTGCATGTGTATGATAGTTTATTAAATATTTTAATATGCTCATAATTTTATTTTATTATTATTTTTATATATTAAATATATAATTTGATAAAAATATGATAATGATCTTTCGAATGGAGAATTCATAAAAGCACACCTTGACTGACAAAGAAGGTATTTTCTAGAATTATTTGTGCAAAATAATATCATCAATATTCAATAAATGAATCATAGTTTAACTTTATATTTGATTCATGATTTCTACCATTACAACAATATGTAAACAACGCAGTACCAATGTTGGGCGCTGTGGGGGTGCTAATCCTTCCCCACTCGTAACCGACTCCCGAACCCATTTTAATCGAATTTTTGGTAAACGCATACCAACTTTTGTCTTGAAAAATGATTTTTCTTAAATTATTTTTAAAAGACGCTTTTTTAGGTATTCGACCTACCTAACCCAAAGACCGATGGCAACTCTTTCCAATTTAATCCAAATTAATTCAAAATCAACCATTTCCAAAATTAAAGTCGTAACTATTTTTTAAAACAATTAAACAATTGTTCTGCCGAAAATCGGTTACGACAGAGCCCAATAATAAAAAATTATTCTAAGGGATTCATACATTATATAATAAATAATGTAACGAAAAAAATACAAGTTGTGAAATCTTCAGGATATTATTTCAGACGTGATCAATAAAATAAGTCTTACTCTATCCAAGCCATATCACAAGTTTTGGATTTCATTCTTAGTAAAGACTTGTTAAGGCATAATTATGTATATCTCTAAAGAGGTACTTGAGTTTTTAGTAAGGAGATCCCGCGTGAGACAACCTATATAATCATGATTAGGTGCTATTGTACGAGTAAATCTAATCCTTCGGGGCTCTCATGCAAGATACCTAGTATAGTCATAATTAGGTGCTCCTGTACAAATCATTCTAATCTTTCGGGGCTCCCATACAAGAAACTTGGTATCGTCATGATTCGGAGCTCCCGTACGAGTTACCCAAAATAAATATATTTAGCATTAATTAATAACTCGTATTTCCCCCTTATCCATTGTCCCATACCATACCCCATCAATACCATCTTTAATTTGTTTTTCAAATAATTATTCCAAAATTTTATAAACTTTCATGTTTATTCGTATCAGTACTATACTTACCCAAGTATCGATACTAAGGTTGATACCGTAATCAAAATAGCATTATGAAATTTCATAATTTCCCAAGTTACTGTAAGGTATCGATACCATCAGTCTCGGTATCGATACTCACCTATTGGTATCAATACCAAGAATAACAGTATCAATATCGCCTTGATATTTTTATACCTAATTTTCTAGATGCCTCGCTAGTATCGATACAGTTCTAATAATATCGATACTGAAAGCCAGATTTTTAGATACTTTTAAGCTTAAACATTTCCAAACTACCCATGAGTCAATACAATGATTTTAACATTAGAGAAGACCCTTATTCTATCTTGTCATTACTTATTTAATCACAAAGTATAAATGTTCATTACCTTTAACAAAATAGTTTATATGGAAACTCTCTTCTTAAATCTTCAAGCTTTCTCCTTCCTCTTAGTTTGTGATGCCCCCCAACTTCTTCCTCTACAATAGAGAGAGGTTAAACCATAAGAATACAAAGATGAAGTTAATAAACATGTAAATCCCTCCTCAATCTGATTTGTAAGAATCACTATATACATATATCCACACATGAATAAGTCAACTTACTCTTACCTTCCTCAAGTAGGGAAGGCAAACAGGCAGGGCGGGTGCGGATACCCTATCCTCTATCCACATATTTTTCTAATATTTTCATATCCATCACCAACCCACTACCCATAACGGGTAAAATTTTTAAATCCATGCTGTCGGAATCGTCTTTCGGTTGAGCCCGGAATTGGGCTTCGACTTGGAAATTGAATTGGAGTCGCCACCGACCATTTTAAAATGAGTTTAGGTGGGTCGGACACCATATTACTTGATCTGCACTGTACCAGAAACGTGTCGGGCTCGGGAGTCGGTTACGGTCAAGGAAGGATTAGCACCCTTGAACCTCCCTTTCGGTACCAATTAATTTGTCGGTTGTCTTAGTTGCGAAAATTTAAAATTAAAATTAAAATTAAAAAGCATTCGATTCAAATTACTTACCTTTAGATCGGTTGGAATTTTTCTAAAAGAGATCAAAAATGTTAGATGAAAAGCTAATAATGAACAAATATTAAATAAATAATATGGGAAAAAGTAATGAAAAATAAATAAAACAGAAAATAAAATTTAATAAAAAGAATAATAATAAAAAAGGTTAAATATTAAAAAAATAAAGAAAAAAATATTAATATAGAAATAAAAAAATAAAGATGAAATAAAAAAAGGATCAAAATGAGAAATTTAATAAAACAGTGTCTAAACCAAAGAAAATGAAAAAAAAGGAATAATGACTAAATCTAAACGTCCAAAAGATATCTGGGTCATTTTCAAATAGAACATAGTTAGGGACTAAAATGTAAACATGTTAAATTAGGAAGCCAAATTGAAATGCTGCAAATTAAATTTAATGACGTTTATGGAGATTATACAAAATCTGAGGACCGTATATGAGGTTTATCTATTTTTGAAATTGTACAACGGTCCCTCCCCAAAACGACGTCGTTTTGGGAGGGACAAAAGTAGGTATAAATGGCTCAAAATGAGCCCTCAACCCTCATTTGTATCAAATATCAGGAAAAAATGAAAAAAAAACCTTTAAAATTCTCTAAAGCTCCTCTACCGGCCAAACCTCGGCCACCACCCAGTGACTCTCTCCACCGTACCGCCGTCTCTAACGACAACTGGGCAAAACCAAAACACCCCTAAACACTCTCCTTAAACTCGTGAATACAAAATCCAAACCCAAATCGCCTAAAGCCACTCCAAACGTTGTAGATCTAGCCCGAAAGTTTTGAGTTTTACCTTTCTCAGTGTGTCCCTTCGACTTCCTAGCGAGATCCCTTCTTTGTAGCCTCGGATGGCTCTTTGTATGGCAGTTGGTTCTTCACGGTATTTGATGTGTAGATGGGTATTTGGTGTTTTGTGTTTATGTTTTTGGCTTTGTTTTTTTTCGATGTGGTGGTTCGATGTTTTTGGTTTAGTGTTATGTTTTCCACTGTGGTGTTGTGTTCGATCTCTATTGTTTGCTTAATGGTTCTATCCCTCGGTTTACCCTGTTTTTACCGATTGTTTGTGGGTTCTCTCGTTTGAAACCTCTGTGGGTTCTCGATGATGGCTTGGCTTTCGGTGGTGATGGTACTTGGTACTGTTGATGGTGGTTTTTTCCCTGGTTTTGGACGTGGCTTTGTGGTTGTATTAACAGTGTTGTACCGATTCCCCCTCTCGGTTCACCATGGTGGGGTATTTATACCCACCCCAAAGGTGGCCTACTCCTGTGATAACGGGGTTGTTCCCATGTTCTTCGATCCTAACGTCTTTCACGTTACCGAGAATCCCAGGATGGTGTAGCCCCGGTTTTCCCGGCTGGCCGATTCGCTATTTGACCATTGGGTTCCTTTGTGCGGTGCCTGTTGACTGAGACAATGAAATGTTAGGGTTTTACAAACCCTGAGCTGGTTCAGGCCCGTTCTGGTTGGACTGTTACTGTCATTGGACCCAAAATAGATCTTGGACTTGGACCCTAAAAAAATGAAAATAAAAAATAAAATTAATAATAATAATAACAAATAAAAAAGTAAATAAATAAATAATATATATAATAAATTATTTTCCAAAAATCTATAGAACATATATTTTCAAAAGTATTTTAAAATTATATATATTATAATTTTTTTAAAAATGTTTTCAAAATTATATAGTTTTAAAAATGTTTTTAAAACTATATATTATATAAGTTTTCAAAATGATTTCAAAATTATATAATATATATGTTTTCAAAATGTTTTTAAAAACTATATATTTTTCAAAATGTTTTAAAAAATATATATAATATATATTTTCAAAAATGTTTTAAAAAAATATATATTATATTTATTTTCAAAATGTTTTAAAAAACTATATAATATATAAATG